CGAGTACAACCACCGCCGCCTCCTCAAGTCCCGACGCGGCGGCGCGGCGGCATCTGATCTCTTCCATTCCCTCCCGCCGGGCTTCAACTTCCAGACGATCCCCGACGGCCTCCATCCGCCAACCGACGACGGCGGCGCCGTGGATGCCACCCAGGACATCCCTTCTCTGTGCGACTCTACCTCCAAGCACTGCTTGGCACCGTGGATGCCACCCAGGACATCCCTTCTCTGTGTCTTCTATTATAGCTTTACCCTAACGCACGCGTATGCACACGCGAGTTCTTTTTTTATTTTTTGACAGATTCGAGTTACTTGACCAACGGGTATCTGGACGAGACATCCATCGACTTCATTCCAGGACTGAGCAAGAACATCCGCATGAGACATCTCCCTTCCTTCGTCCGAACCACAAACCCTAACGACGTCAAAAACCCAACTGACAATAGTGGACTGGTTTGAAATTATGATTGATTTGCGGTAATTCGGTAAACCGGTTTGTAACCGTTTACCGGTAATTCGGTAATCGGTAAACCGGTTACAAACCGGTATCGGTAAACGGTAAACAGTTTGGCCACCCTCGGTATAGCGAAACCGGTAAATTCGGTAAACGGTTTACCGTTTACCGACCGATTCCCACCCCTACTTTCAAGTTTAAAAAGGTAAGTAATGATTTTCTATAAGAAAGGTAAGTATTAATCCCAAAACCGCCGATTCGAGTTAGGCGGTTCTACCAGTTAGTCGGATGAACGGTTAATACCCGGTCAGCCGGTTTTCTTATTGTTTAGAGGGAGTCGGAACCGGATGAGTGGCCAGAGCCGATTAGCCGCGGTTTGACCGGCCGGTCCCGACTAGTTTTGATAACACTGGTTGGAAACATCTTTAGTAAGGAATCAACAAGTCTTTCGTATGTTGAATTTCTTTCACATATTTAATCATCAAGTCTCTAGCTAATCATTTTGTCAAATGACCAGCTAAATTCTCTCAAATTCGGTCATAATGTTTAGGCATAACTCCATAAGTAATCAGTTCAAGAATTTTACCGTGTCTAATTCCCACATGACAAGATTTGCCATTTATGCACTTGGCTATATGCCTAGCCAAAGTAGCATTATTATCACAAAGGATAGTAACATGTGAGATTGAGACAATGTGACTTCTTTATCAATCGCTTGATTCAATACCTAAAATCACATTTACTTCCCTCATGCCATGCATGAAAATTTAGATGACATAATTTTTTTTGGTAAAGTTCACTTAAAGACAAGCATGTGCAAGTCATCTATATACAAACACATAATGACTCCATTTCCAAACTACCAATAATCCCCAAAATTTGTTAATAATTTAGAGTTATCGATCGTTTGTGATATGTGAGGATGAAATCAATTACTGTAGCAAGGAGACATCACAATGAGCACCCTAGAACACTACTTTATTGAATAAGTTCGGTATACTCGCCATTGCCAATACCACTCCAACCAAACTTCAGGTGACATGAAATCCAAGAATTCATTCACGGTTAATAATTATACAGCCACCTTCTTACAGCATATGAACAATACAAGTGTACATTTACTCACTGCACATTTCTAGCAACACACCAGTAAAACCAACTCAGTGGCAGCTTTTTATTCACCAAGCACAGCAAATGGCTCTCAGAAAGTCCCCGTTCATGACCAGGAACTCGCTAGAGAAGCTTCGTCCTTGTAAAGATGCAGGGCAACCGCTACTGAGCCTGCGCAGAATAGATATCTGATTTACAAATCCCCGAAATACAGGAACAGTTCCCATGTTACAACTTGACAGCCAATGACAATCGATTATAGTTACCGAGAGACGCTTGCGGAAGGCCTCAACAGTCTGTTTTGGATCAACCTTTGTTGGCTTGTAAGCCTCGAGTTTGTTCGCCTCCTGTATGCATATATAAGGATACCGATACCATCACCCAATTCAAGAAGAAGAGTAACTTATGGTTATAGGCTCATAGCTCGTAGAAGGGATTATGTTCAATACCTCAATCAAAGCTGCAAGTTTAGGCCTGCCTTCAGTAATATCATACTTGAGCACTTCAGATAAGAAAACCTGGAATCTTTCAATGAATGGGATGTAGGCAATGTCCACCTGCAACATACACATAAGGACAGGTTGTAGATTAGAAAGCCTTAAAGTTAACATCAAATCAACTTGGGGGCGCGCTAAGGGAAGTCAAAACTTACCAGACTGAATTGGCCAAGGAAGAACGGCCCATCATTGAACCTCGAAAGGGAGTTTTCCAAGAAATCGAAAACTGGATCTGAATCACAGACCAACCAGTAAGTTTTTTATATTTAACAAAATGTAGCTCCGGTACCAAATGGAAGCGCTACAGAACTCACCAACTTCGTTTGCCACATCTCCCTTGAACGAAGAGAATACCGATCCAACAAACGTGTCGCTGTACGACAACAACTCATCAGCAAACTGTTTCTTAGCAGGATCCTACCAAGATTTTCAAAATACGACCAAGTTAGCTTCTTGCTGAGGTACAGTGAGAACACATTGAAAAGAGGGGGGGGGAGAGCTCAAAGAACGTTTACATCAGGGGTAATAGAAGGTCCCTCAAAGTTGGCATCCAAGTACTTAACCAAGTCGAGACTCTCCCCAGTGATTTTCCCATTGTGTTCAAGTGCCGGCACCTTAGAAGAAACAAGACCAGGCATCAAACTTGAAGAGAGTAACAATTGACTAACATGATCACTACTAATTAGCCACCATTAACAAAGATGCATATTCCACAAGACTTGGAGCAGCAGAACAACAGTGTAACCAACGAGATGGTGAAAAATTCACCTTATTGGGAGGATAAACCTTCTCTTTATACCAAGCAGGCCTGTCCTGAAGGTTCAAGGGGACTAGCTTTATCTCATTTTGCAAACCCTGAGAAACCAACGAGATCACCCAATTACATGGAATGTAACCCTTACCACAAAACAGGATTCTACTCCAATTACATATGGAAATGGGAAAAGATAACCTTGAAATTCCTGGTGATCCAAACTCGCTGGGCATAAGGACAGATGTAAGCCGTGTACAGCCTTCCACAAACCAGCAACCAAATAGGGAAAGAAAGAGGCAGCAACCATCACCGTTGGGGCCATCATGTCAGTACTTTTAGCTCCAGCATCAACGAAAGGAGGGAGGAAGGAAGAAAGAAAAAAAAAACGCAGGCGGACGAGAAACGGAAGCGAGGGAAGGATGAACCTGGTAGTGCCGTCGAAGAGAGGAGGCTGCTCCGCCGTGGAATCCAACGAAGGAGGCAGATTCTCCAGCACGGTCCTGAACAAACGGGAAAACAGATGGGGTAATCAGAACGGGAATCTTGGAAGACGATTAAAGTAAGCGGAAATCTTACGCAGCAGCGGCGGCAGACATTGGCGACTGTCTCTTTTTCGTTTCTCTGGGAAGTCTTGCCTGGCTACTGGTGGCGATTGTGGTTTGAACGAGAGTGAAAATTGTGGTGGTTTGTGGCCCAAATTGCAGAGGGAAAGCCGGTGGTGCGTATTTATATCAACGTTACGGAGCGGTGCCGGTCTGTTCGTCTCTGTACGCAGTTAAGAGAGGGACCAGTGGATTGGCTGGGAGCGAGTTGACTGAGCTTCTTCTTGTTGTTGTTGGCCTATGGCCTCCTTGCGTTATCACTAGGGGTGGAAATCGGTACGGTATCGGTATCCCAATACCAAATATCGAAATACCGAATACCGAATTACACCCTAAAATCAATCCCAATCCCAATCCCTAAATAATTTCAGTATCCCAATCCCTAAATAATTTCGGTATCCCAATCGGTACCTCGGTATCCCAATCGGTATTATCGAATACATAATTAATTACCTTTGCAATTAATAATTAAATATATAAATTAGATTTTATTGTTTAATTTAGGGCGTAGAGACTAAGCAAATAGTCTTGAGTTGCATAGAGCTAACATCTCAAGTTCTTGTAATTGGTAATATTTAATTTGACGAATTTGACGTTGAGAGACGACTAATATTAGTGTGAAATAGTGATGTAATGGTCTATTTATAATTAAATGACACTTTTGGTGGTTGAGGGTCGCGTAGTAGTGAATGAGAGAGTCTAGTTGAGAGGATAAAATACACACTAGCTTATATTTCGGTATTGATCGGTATTTCGGTATATACCGATCCCAATCCCGTAATCCCTAATACCGAATAACAATTGAAATTCAATCCCAATCCCAATCCCATAAAATAATACGTGTATTCGGTAATACCAAATATAGACAAATTCGGTACGGTATTCGGTATATCCCAAATACCGGTACCAAACTTCCAGCCCTAGTTATCACCGTTCAGCGGTGACGACAGGATGTGAGGCTGACGTGGCACCATTTTGGGTGACATTTAGGCCGGGTCGGGTAATTCTGAGATGGGCGGCCCATATGAGGAAGCTGCTGCTGGCCCAAAAGAGACCGCAGGCTAGCAAATAACCTGAAGGCTTGAAGGACGAAGCACGGCAAATTATAGGGTGATTGTTTAGTTGAGATAGTTACAATTCATGCATTGTTCACAACGGTTATTTTTTTGAATTTTATGTATAAAGAATATATGTATTGTTTGTTTGATTTGACGCAAACTAACCCTCAAAATGAGTGATAGTTAAATCTCAAGTTTTTTGTGAGATTGTTTGATTGAGATTGTTGTGTTTTATTTTCTTCCAACTATGTCTCTACCTTTTTATGTGTGTTGCTTTTTTATATAAAAAACAAAAGGGTAAAAGTGACATTTCACCCAAAAAGTAATATAAATCATTTAAATAACACAATAACTATCACAAAAACCAAACGATGTAAACTACAGTATCCCAATTTTCGTATATACATGTATATTATTATGCATGCATTAATGACAATGCATCTATTTAACTATCAACAAAACCAAACGACCTCAGGGCTCCGTTCAGATAAGTCATGGCAAAATGGAAGTTTTTATTTAAGGTAAGGGTCTTCATTAGTGATGGCAATGGGGTGGGGTGGGGTGGGGTGGGTACCTCAGTACCCATGCCCTTCCTCACGCTATTATGAGTTGGGTAGGTAAAATCCACGTGGGTACGGGGTGGGGCGGGTCGACCCACGCTTACATGTTATTTGAAAAATACATACACATTTTACTTTTTACGATAAAACAAAGGGAAAACACTTTATGAATGAAGAATGGTGATAACAGAATGGGTAATTGAGTCTAACCAATTGAAAGATCAACTCTAACTAGTTGATGAAGAGTCCAAATAGGAGAAATATTTATAGATATTGTAAGAAAGTGAGAATGGGCCAAGAACGGGGTCGGGACGGGTTGGAAGTAGATACCCATGCCCCTCCCCTCACTTCTGCGGGTCGGCCAATACCCGTGGTGCGGGTTCAAATTGCCATCACTAGTCTTCGTCAACACAGGAGCTCTGTTGCGCTCTCGATTGTTCGTCCATAATGAGAACAGTGAATGCATCTCGACCAGGTTGGATAGATCATGAATATCTTCCCCTGTTTTGTTTCAATGGCAGAGGATTGGGACATTGAGATGCTACCTGTTCGTTTCCTCCACCTCCTGGTTCATAGATCTTCGAGGCATCCATATCACTGATTCCACATGAAATTCTGCTCAACGCGTTTACTTTTATTTTCCACTTAATATGTATCTTTACTTTGTGTAGGAGTTGCTTCATTACTTATGGACCTTCCACTATTTTTAGTGAAAGATCATTTACATTTCAAAGAATAAAATGCACACATTCATAAAAATAAAAAAATATAAAATGAGCCTAAGGAAAAAAAGATAATATAGAACGAGTGACCGTTTTTTTTATTCTACGACTACATGTATAAATTTTTTTAGGTAAAAGACTAAACATCAAGAGAGAAATCTGCACTTGAGTTTAGTTGTCAGCCCCCTGAGCCTGCGGCTGCACAGTAGAGAACACCAATATTTTCTTTTTGTTAAGTATTAGATTGAAGTATAACTAACGTATGCTTGTGTGTTTTGATTAAAAAATATTACCAGGAAACGCAGGCTGTAATACTCGACAACCTCCTTTGGATCAATTTGTTTGGTCAGATTGTAAGACTCTAGCTTGTTAATATCCTACAACAATCAAATTTCATTGTTGATTGAGGGAATGTAAAATCCGAAGCCACTAATAACAAGATGAACAACATGAAGAAAATGATGATTTCCTCGTGTATATATATATACCTGAATCCAAGCAGCAAGGTTCGGTCTACCTTCAGTAATGTTGTACTGGTATACTTCTGATAGGAAGATCTCAAATCTTTCAATGAATGGGATATATGCAATGTCTGCCTGTAGAAATCCAGATGATCATAGTGGATTAATCAGTTATAAGTGTTAGAGAGGTATAAAATTCAGTATAACCTTCGCCCAACAACTCGAGTTATTGGGACCAACTGGTTCTTGACATGGTATCAGAGCCTAAAAACCGAAAGGTCATGTCTTTCAAGCACATGGTATGGTGGGCCTGTGCAAACTTCAAGCCCATGGGTTGGCTTTCGTTTGAGGGGGCGTGTTAGAGAGTTGTATAAAATACAGCATGACCTTCTCCCAACAACTCGAATTACCAGGACCAACTGGTTATTGACAATAAGAATCAAAGTACGGTCTGTTGTATACTCACCAAACTGAACTGGTCACCAAGGAAGAATGGTCCACTGTACTTTGAAAGAGCATCTTCCAAATAATCAACAGCAGGGCCTGTAATAAAGTCACGTTTTACTTAAAAGATATATAACAAAAACTTATGCACTGCACGTATCACAAGAATCTATTGCGAGAAGCACATACCAACATCGCTCACTACATCTCCCTTGAAGGCAGCATATACATTTCCATTAAATGTATCAGTGTATTCAAGCAACTCTTCAGCAAATTGCTTCTTTGTAGCATCCTGCAAAGGATTTCTTATTTAGTCATTCTTCTCGGTGACCAATGAAACCGAGTTGTCGTCACTACCATATCCATGTAGAGGAATTTTACAATGCTATATAGCATTGGTGCTATAGGTTTTTCCCTTTATGGTACAACTTAAAGTTGTACCTTTAACGTTATGGTACAACTTCAGATTGTACCTATACTCTTTTGTCAAATTGTTTTATGGTACAACTTAAACTTGTACTTTCATTTGATGGTACAAGTTTAAGTTATAAAGTTGTACCATAACATAAGAGCACAAATTCCTTTATGGTACAACCTGAACTTATACATTTAACGTTATGGTACAACTTTAAGTTGTACATTAAAGCACCAATACTTTATAGCATAATAGAAGTGCTCATCCATGTAGAGACACAAGGGGGGTTTTTAGGTTAAGGAGAATCATACATCAGGAAGAAGAGAAGGCCCTTCAAAGTTGCTATCCAGATACTTCATCAAATCAATGCTCTCCCCCATGATTTTCCCATTATGCTCAAGTGATGGAACCTTATGAACAAAAAGACAATTCCATAATCACATCGAACCCCTTCCGGTCATCGTCGTCGTCGTCGGTTAGCACATATACATAAACGAGAGCCGAAATCAGAGAAAATATTCCTCCACGGGTAAAGAAGAAAATCAGTTCACCTTGTTTTCGGAATAAACTTTCTCTGCATACCAATCCGGCCTGCTTCGAAGATTAAACGGGACTAGTTTTATCTCGTCTTGCAGCCCCTGGAATAAATTAAATTTCCAACATGTGTATCCACAGATGTGCACCATTACATATTATCATAAGGCAATTGGATTGATGCTTATCATTAAAGTTAGTTAAGATAACTAACGAAATCCAACCTTGAAATTCCTGGTGATCAACACTCGCTGAGCAAAAGGACATCTGTAGCTTATGTACAACCTTAAAAGTGAAAATTTTCAAAAGCCAGCGTGACAATCGTGAAGACGAAGTAGTAAGTGGAGCAAATTGAATAAGCACACATTTTTACCTAGTAGTTCCATCGAAGAGCGGCGGTTGCTCCGACGTAGGACCATACACCGGCGTCAATTTCTCCGGCGTCGCTTTATCCGAACTTTCAAACCCCAAAACAACAAGTGAAATCAGGCAACTTAAACAATGGGGATTGAAAATAAAAAAAAAAAGTGGGAAAAGATCAACAGTAAGACAGAGAGGGAAACATAATGGCTTAGAATTTTTCTTACGCAGCGGTAGACATTTTCGATGTGAAACTTCTTTCTGGTTTCGGAGGTGGGGAGATGTGGGAGGAAAGTTGAAGCAATAATTAAGAAATAATAAGCGCGAGGAATCCGTCTTCCTCGCGTCTGACACTTGAGATTAGCAGGGGACGAGACATGCATGGGAGGCATGCCATCTGTCATTCTGCCCGGCTGGAATTTCTTCTTTTATTTTCATACAAGATAATTTTAGCAATAATTTGTTTTTTTTTAAATAGCTTTTTTTAATTTAGGTAAAGAAACAATTTTTAAAAAAACAATATTTTCAAGAGAAGCATTGAACAAATAAAGGACCGGTAATATCATATTCTAAGGTTAACACTAATTATTAGCCAAACCTTTTCCGGCCCCATTCTTTTTTAATAGCCAAACCTATTGAATTATTAAGAATTAGCCAAATGTTAACTTCCAGTTAGCAATTTATTTTAGCAATATTGACTTGGGAACATGATACTAATTTGGAAGAGACACGTAGAGATCAACATTCCAAAACTGTAGTATTTTAACTAAGAAAAGAGTTATAAAAATTATTAACGATAATAGAAAAATGGTTAATATTTTGATGCATTACAAAAGATTTGACTTATTAATCGTAATTCAATAGGTTTGACTAATAAAAAATCATGCGAAAAGGGTTGGGCTGATAATTAGTGTTAACTCAAGATTCGATCTATCAAGAGAAGATTTAAAAAGAAATATTAATACATTTTTTAGCTTATGGTTTGTCAACCCAACCAATTTATCAATCACACTACCAACAAAAATACAATAAGACCATCTATAAATGAAAATTCAATTAATTTTAGTCAGTTGAATATGTATTATATTTTTAGTTAACTTTATGTCTTTAATGTATTTTCTAACATTTTCTATTTTTTTCTCTTATTTTCCTACGTTTTGTTTTTGTTTATGTTTAACTTTTCCTAGTTATTGGAGATGGTCATATAGATTTTACCGATACATTACACTCTCTTACCAAATAAGTTTTAAGAGAGGGTGTTCTAAGAGAGCTTTTTATGAGGTTAAACAAACAATCCAAGTGAATGATGGAGACAAAAGTCTTGAAACAACAATAATGACAAGATTTCTTGGTGATTGGTAACCCATCTCAAAATGTATGCCCTTGTGATATTTGAACGGAGGGGGAAAATCCTCTTTCTCATCCTTAACATTGCATATAAGACAGTTTGGTGAAGGAGTCCTATGAAAAAACAAAACAATTTGGTGAAGGAGCAACGTTTGGATCCTCAAAGACCTGTCAGGATCCACAACCAATACATTTACACATAATTATTCCATCTTCTTACTAATAAGTATTTTGTTTTTAATATATACTCACAAGCACATAGCCCAACCACACCCCTTTAGCTCCTACAAGCCAATTGAGATGTTTGTTATTCTACTACATTCTTTTTCTACTTTCGGGTGTAATAATATTATATACTAGGTTCAAAGCCTGTGCTCCGCATGATATGTTCAATTCTTAATTTATTACGAATTTTATTTTTGTAAATACGAAGTAATGTGTTAAAAAAAAAAGAAGCTCATATAATACAATTTTCATTTGAGGTAAATGAAATAATATAATCTAAGATCGATTGAAGAAAGTGTGTGTTCAACGACATATAAAACCAGGTTGAAACTACTGAGTTAAACTCACATTAAATTCTATACTCTTAAGCTAAGAGTCTATCAGAGTAAATTGGACTCGATGACCAATTAGACCTCATGTTCTAAAATAATACTATGCAAAACAAAACATTTACTTGAATAGTTGGAAAACTCAAAAGCTTATCAATTGATAAGGATTCAAAGTGAAAATATGCATCATGGAAATACACGTGATTGAAATACGTGCCATCAACCGACCTCTAGTTGATAGTCAGGATATAACCTCCTCCTAGAAGTCATCGTGGAGAAGTGACAAAAATGTACCTCAGAAAGTTGTCAACCACCAACAATGTTGACTGAAGCCACAAGTTGTTCAGCAAAGCATGATACAAGATCATGTCATTGGTGGTTACCTTCCCATCATCTCCTCTCTACCTCATGTAAAAAATTATTTGGCCAAAGTAGTGCACGAACCTAAGGAATGGCAGCCGAATGTGGTTTGGTGGTGAGTATAGCAGCAAACTAGCCTCCTAGTTCCTTGTGATTTTCTTCCATAGCTCCCGAAATATTTCTGGATGCATTGTGGGCTCCCAATAGGATCCAAGCAGAGCGTCAGAGGGAGCTCCCCTCACGTAGTAGGGTGGGATTCCTAGCTTCAAGGTGAAGCTGTTGTAACTGTCATTGAAGTGTCATCCCGCCAGCCTATATGAAATGCATCTCTGGTTTGGGTCCCTCACTGGTGCTACTATCATAGTAGAAAGGAACTTTCTCGTGAACACACCGTTGCTCTCTCCTTTGATGCTGAATAAAGACAAGAGACTAGCCTCATCAAGTCTCTGCCTCATCGATGCTCCTCAGCCTTGGCACAGGTCAAAATCTTCCCAGTCAATCTCTCCTTGGGGGTCCACTGGTATGTATCTCCATCTCTCCACCTTCTTAGCACTAGAACTGCAATGGGGAAATAGAGGAAGGTGTGTAGAGGAGCCTCCAATGTGTTCTCTCTGATCTCTAGCTCCCTGTCGTTCTCAAACACCTTGGCTCCTGGTGGTAGTTGTCCACTCCTGTTCCTAGATCTCTCACTATCAAGTGATAGTTTTCCATTGCTACTGCTGGAGGAGATTTGAATGAACCGATATTGAGAACTCAAGTTCCTTGAATCCTCCTCTTCTTCTTGCTCGATCACTGGCTCCCTCATGTTAAGTAGTGCATGCCTTTGAGGTGCTACATACTATGGTTGCACTCGTGGTGGACTAGGATGTCGTAGTCCCATGAAAGAAGAAGCACCATCATCTCATTTCTTCTTCTTCTTCTTCTTCTTCTTCTTCTTCTTCTTCTTCTTCTTCTTCTTCTTCTTCTTCTTCTTCTTCTTCTTCTTCTTCTTCTTCTTCTTCTTCTTCTTCTTCTTCTTAAGCCATCCTGGTTTTCAATTCATTTTCATGCTCAATAGAAAGAAACCAAAGTTAGAATAGATAAATAGGGGAATAACCCCATACTCAATGAGTCGGGCTTCTTCTATACGCTAATCTTATAACTTCTTTAGTACAAATTATCAAGATAGTAACTCATTCAATCCTTTAAGTTGATTAAGCACATGCAAAGATAAGAAATATTCAAGCTCAAAATGTAGAAGTAGCATGAACTATCTCTCTTGATAATTTGAAAACTTTGAAAGCTCAAGTTGTATAGTTAGCCAAGTTGGCACAAGTAAAATTTAATCCAAATTCATCCAAATTAGCAATGAAATTTGAAACTTAGAACGTCCTACTCTCATTGAAATCTCAAAATTTCAAAACTCGTATCAACAAATTCGAAACTTAGCATATCTTGACGTTTAAAGCTCAATTCAAAAGATGATATGCTAGGATTTTGAGAATTTTTGCATGACCTTCGTTAAAATGCATCACACAACAAAAATTCCATTGTGTGAGATTTTATTTTTTGTAATTCATAGTACTTTGTATTTTAAAAAAAAAGATATTAATAAAATAAAAAGTAAAATCCCGTGCGGAGCACGGGCTCTTGACCTAGTAACTTTGAAAAGGAAGGTTGGTGTTGATAACATGACAAAAGTGTTTTCTAAACCATGGTTGACTAAAATAACTTAACTTGCACGCTCTAGCCAACCGATCTGACTTAACCTATTTAGAAAAATGACTAAATTACACGTTTGGTCACTCGAATTACATAAATCTTTCACGTTTGCCACTCAAATTACTTTTCTTTCATATTAGCCACTAACTTTACGATTCATTTCACCGCTAGTCACTCTCCGTCAGTCTCCGTTAACACCGTCAAATTTTTGATGACGTGGCAAACGGAAGTGCTGACTGAGCATTAACTTAATAACGTGTCAATTTTTTAAAAAAATTAAAAATAAAAAAGAGATTCCACCTCATTCTCTCCTCACAACAACCTTTATCTTCTCATTCTTCTTCGCACGTGCAGCAGCCAAAACAGAGATCAGCGGTGCCATCGATCTCCCCGCCCCGTCGGCGAGGTACCTGTTACCACCACCGTCGAATCAAGTTTCAGTGGCGCCACAGTCATCTTCTCCCGCAGCCACTCGTTGCTTTTTCCTCATCCCGGTGCCTGCTCGTTGCCGTAAACTCCGCCGCCTTCAGCAACCTAGTCCGAACTCCGACGCACCACCAAACTTTCATGTTGCAGTCGGAGCCGCCACCATCTCGACAAGAGCAATTGATACAGCCTCCTCTCCAAATCGTCGCTACAACCTCAGCCCGGAATTCACGCCATCGTCATCGCCACTGCACGTTTCAGCATCCATTTGCCGTTGTCGTCGTGCCCAGTTTCTTATTCCAGATCTAGGGAAATCTTCCAAAACATACCACCCCTAAAAATCAAAATTAGAACTCCTCAAACTTGGAATCAAACCAAACCCCCTAAAATTCGACCACGGATTGAGAAGGAACAAAGTAATTACCGTATTCGTTCTCTCGCCGGCGACGAGAGCAGAGCAGTGGCATATTGAGATCGAGGGTAGGAGGAGAAGTCGATTTGGAGTTCTTATTTGTCTGGGTTGGTCACGTCCATCCCCGGCCAGTACACGCTAGTCTAGGAGCAGAACCCGGCGATGTCGGATCCGGAGAGAGTAGTTCGGGCGGTATCGAAGGCCTCGTGGATTGTTTCTCTTCGCGGTTACGGATGAGGAGGGAGCCGGGGCGACGGAGAAATCGTGTAGCAACGGAATGCCGCCACCAGGCGAAGGAGCCACCGGTGTCATTTCACCCAGACGGAGGAGCAGTGGTGGAACTGGAGTTTGATGGAATAATTCTCCAGGATCCAACTCTTGGGTAAAGATGGGGAAGACGAAGAATAAGTGGAGGAGGGAAGTAGCCACTACTCTTTTGCCTAATTCTATTTTTGTTTATTTGTTTTCTTTTAATTTTTAAATTTTTTTAATTGACTTAACGGTACAGTCAGCACTTCCGTTTGCCATGTCATCAAAAATTTGACGGTGTTAACGGAGACTGACGGAGAGTGACTAACGGTGAAACGAATTGTAAAGTTAGTGGCTAATATGAAAAAAAGTAATTTGGATGGCAAACGTGAAAGATTTATGTAATTCGAGTGACCAAACGTGTAATTTAGCCTTAGAAAAATAAATAGCTTAGAGCATCTCCATCAATGCAATTGCAAAAGAAATTGCATTTGTGTTTTTTATTGTCAACTCAAATTTTTTGCAATCCACATCACATTCATTTCATTCACTTACATCAATGCAATTAACTTGCAATTTCAAATTTCATTAAATATTATGTTTAAATTATAGAAAATTAAGTAAAAGAGAAAAGAAAATAATATAAAATAAAATATCCCCATTTTTGTAGGCTTTTTTGACTTGCATATGGAATTGCATTTGTTGCAAGCTTGCAAATATGCAATTGGTTGCCACATCAATGCAATTGGTTTTGCAATTGCAAACACCTATGTCATCTCATTTTGCAATTGAGAATGCAATACCAATGTGGATGCTCTTATTAGTCAAAAGTTCCAACCAACTTAAAAGTATTAAGTATTAACCGTTAATTTTCCAGTTCAAAAGTCGAAATCGCAACCGCCCAATAATATCATCACCATGAATTGAACAACTCTAGTTCCATCATGGGGCAATTCTATGCGGCCGGCAAGGGCCCCGGATTCGATCCTATAAGAATTTGACAAAAGGCCGGCAGCCCGCGATCAATATAATAAATACAGAAGTAATTGATTGATCCACCCCGAAACAAGCTAACGCTAATGGGAGGTCCAAAATGGTCTCTCAACGGCATGACCGCCCTCGTCACCGGCGGATCCAAAGGCATCGGCCGCGCGATCGTCGAAGAGCTCGCTGGACTCGGCGCACGTGTGCACACGTGTGCCCGCAACGAGAAGGAGCTCGGCGACAGGTTGCAAGAATGGAAGAGCAAAGGGTTTGACGTGAGCGGCTCTGTCTGCGACTTGAGCTCCAGCTCCCAGAGGATCAAGCTCGTACTGGAGACTGTCGCCTCTGCCTTCGACGGCAAGCTCAACATCCTTGTAAGTAACAAAAAAAAAATGAACAGTAAATGTCTTGGGAATGTTATTGATGGCATATCATGATCAGGTGAACAACGCTGGAATTGGGGTGTTCAAGAAATGCCTGGACTGGAGCCCTGAAGATTACTCGAGCGTGATGGCGACGAATCTGGTGGCGCCTTTCCATCTGTGTCAACTGGCGCATCCGCTGCTCAAGGCGTCTGGCCGGGGAAGCATCGTGTTCATTTCCTCCACTGCTGGTCTGTTGGCCATTCCTTTCGTATCGGGCTATGCGACCACCAAAGGTATTCTTTTTTTCCGTTGGTTGTTGGCACCAAGGTTCAAAACCCAGAACGCGCGTCAAATGTTCTCATCCTCGTATTATCACTAGACTGAGTGAGGGTGTTTGTTGCATATGCAGCGGGGATCAACCAGTTGACCAAGAACTTGGCATGTGAATGGGCTAAGGACAACATTCGGGCCAACAGTGTTGCTCCTGGAGGAACCAATACCCCGTTGACGATGGTGAGTGGAAAAAAAGAACAATGTTGTCTCCCCCCTTTTTTTGGGTAATGAGTGACATAACTCAAGATTCCTTTTATCATTTGCAGACGGCAAATTCGAACCCTGAGTTTCTCAAAGCAGGTGTTAGTATAATGAGTAGGGTTCCCGCCGAGCGCATGGCAGAGCCAGACGAGATATCGTCGGTTGTGGCATTCCTCTGTATGCCGGCAGCTTCGTACATATCTGGCCAGGTGATCGCCGTGGATGGTGGATACTCTGTCTGTGGGTTTTAGGTTTTATGTATCTATCCTCTGCCTACCATCAAACTAGTTGTAAAATGTAAGCTCCCAAATGTATGGTGCAGCATGAACATTAATACAGTCGATCTATACCGGAATCTCTTGTGCATCGTACGTCATTCTGGTTTCTACGTGTGCCGATCTACGTACCAAGAGCAGACCATGTTGAGTATCGAATAAAGGAAAAAAGTCCTCGAGAATACTGAAGCAAAACAGTGTTCAAGTCCAACACATAGTACGAGCCAAAAGTATGTACAAATTACGACTGGGAGGCTGATAGCTTTCAACTGCGTCTCATGCTCCGCCATGGAGAGAGGGAGAGGAAGAAGAACAAGACATGACTTACTGGGTCTTTCCATTGTGACCATTTCTCAAGCAATGAAATGGGCTTTGCTGGCACAATCCTTTCTGTATTTAGCCGGGTATCTCATTGGTCAATCGGAATCAGACTTCTTCAGCAGGCTAAATATGACGCCGAGGCTGAGGCTTGTTGCCACAAACCCAAGAGATGCCTCAGTTGACACGTGAAAACCTGCAGTTCAATTTGCGGGGGGCCTCTCAGCCCTCAGGTCTGGTCTATAGATTGTACTGAATGAAGTAAAAGTCGACAGCGTATAATAAGATTGGCAACAAAGGAGGATTAGAAGATCACTCACCGAAGAAATCCAGGATCATCTTGCACCCAATGAAGCCTAGGACTGTGGCGATCGAGGGCTGAGGACACAAAGTAGATTTAGAAAAGAAAGCGTCAGTTAGCTTAATTCATGCAAGCAGACAAACCAACAACCATGGAATGAATGGCAATTATCCGCCAAGAAAAGAGCCGTTTAGTTTACTTGCAAATACTCCAACTCTGCCATACTCTGGGAAATGAGCGTGAAAAGGGATCTCAGACCTGTTTGGACAGAAAGAAGGAAGAAAAAAAAGCCACTTAAGCCCAAGAGATGGCTGATGTTCATAGCTAAATAACCTCACTTTCTTCGGCGGAGATTGCATCTCAAGCACCTACCTACATGACCTGATAAAGGGGAGAAAGTTTACCCAGGATTGCAAAGAGATTGGAAGAGAAAACAATGAATGGATCTCGGGTAACGCCAAACACTGCAGGGATGGAGTCAACCTGAGGATAAAAAACAAACAAGAAGATATGTGCGTTATTGTCAAATCTTCAATCCAAGCACCAAATAGGATTTGTTATGCTCAGCAGCAAAGAGAAATTAAAACGAATATATATTGGAAAAAGAGAAGAAGATTTCTTACTGCAAATGCAATATCACTAAGCTCAAGTACTGCTACTGTGAGAAGTAAAGGTGTGGCCTGCCCAAAATGTTGATGCCTGTTAGAAATGAGGTCATAAAATTTTTAGGAACATCAGGATGTGTTGCCATGACATGCAACAGGAATAACCATGGATTAACAAGTCTAACATGCAAACGGGATTCTGTGAATGACTTACTTTCAAAACACCCTCGTGCTCTGTTATAAACCGATCCCCATCATATTCAGCTGAAAAGTCGAACAAAATCAACCAGGATAAGCCATAGTAGCCATCAAAGAAGAGGTAGAGACTCTTATTTAAGACTAAAATGCACAGAGCCCCGCATCAGAAAGGAAGGCGAAAGAAGACAGCTTTCCTGCCCAAAATTACATGTGACAGGAATAACTCTCTGGCAAGTCTTCACTATAAAATTATTCGACAGATCACTCTCATCTTCTTCACCAACAAATAGTAACTGATAACACAAAATTAGACAGTGGTCAGCATATAAACAAATGAACAATAACACCGGCATGTGTTGAACAAAAGAAAACCCCCCAAAACATTTGACAGCACCTTGAAAGATGAGTATAGCAATATTCCTGCCAAGAACAGATTGACAGCCTCAAATCTCTGCAACAACAAAACAATAAATCAACAATGATACAGATGTTTAAACACTAATCCAAATCAATGCTGAACCATAGAGAGATATATAAAGAGCCCCACATAATAATAAATAAAAAATTAAATTCATGGCGCAGTGTTCACCTGAAGCGTAGCAGTTCCAAGAAGTATCAGCGACAAACGAAAGATGACTGCACCAGCAATGCCGTACGAAAGCACTCGATTCTATTGTCGCACATGATAACAGTTTTCATTACTAGATAGCAGTGTACCGTGTCGCATAGATGGTAATATGTTTCATAAGTAATGCAAGATCTTTAGATTGCCTAGCGGAGCTCCTTATGGTAACAATGAAAGCATAGACCGACCTGATACATGAGTGGCACTTTGAAATAGTTAAATATGAGAACAAAAACGAATAGATTATCCACGGACAAACTCTGCTCCAACAGGTACCTGAAATGGCACAAAATGTTTATCATGATTTACCTCAATAACAAACCTAAAGACTAGCTAGCAATGCGAATAAGGATGTCTGGAAAGGGAATGGAAAGAACTGAACCAAATCAACTATGCATACCCAGCAAAGAACTCTGATGCCTTGCCAACACCTTCTACCAGACCAATGCCAATGCCAAACGCCACAGCACTGCCAACCTATAAGAATGATTGACCGCATTGGTTCTAATCTTGACAACGCGATGCGAAGAACAATTCACTAAAAGCGAAATCGCAACAGAGTTATCCAGTACTCACACATAAAGCAACAGTTTTAACTGATGTCACGTATGTTTTATCTCTCTCAGCATTATCCAAAGACTCGTCAGCATTATCATCATGTCTTTCAGAACTGATCTTCTCAGCTTCTACCAAGACAGGAATTTATGTACCTCATTCCGATTAGCAAACTGTATATAAACTTAGAACAAACAATTCGTTCTGAAGTTGTGAATTGAACAGAAAATCGACCATCAGCTGGAAAAACATTTCAGTAAGTCATAACACAAACCGGAGTTGGGCAAATCGCCCTCCTTCTCAGTGCCTTTTACACGAGCAATCGCACAATCCCGCCGACGAACTCCATGAATGGCTGAAAATCCATCAATTCACAATCCGTTTCAATCCCCCATTGTTGATAAATGATAGCAGTAGCTGGGTAAGCAACTAGGAAGGGAGAGAAACCTGCAGAGAGGGAGGGGAAATGATGCTGAACGAACTGAACCCCAGTACATTTGGGAGCAGTTAAAACCCTGAGCGAGAAAGGACGGAACTTGACCGGAGCTTGAATGTCGACGTTGTGGATGGCTGAAGCGAGCCCTGAAACCGCTCGTGTGGGTGAGGATCTGATGTGGAGTTTGAGAACCATTGGAAGCCAAATTGCAATCGGGAAGAAAAACAAATTTAGGCTTGAAAGAAGTGAACAGCCTCTTTGGTTCACCGCCTTGAAATGGCAACTTCTCTTGCTGTGGTGGCAGCAGCAAGCTTCCGCCTTCCTCTGCGTGTCGCCTTGTGGGAGGAAGTAGCGGCCCAAAATCAACGAGCGTTAGATCGGTTTGAAGCCGGGGATGGGCGGACGTCAGTGGAGGTATGGGGACGCTCCGATCCCCGAATCCACCGTTTGTTCGAAGTTGGAAATTATCAAAATGGTCATGTTACTTGTATTGGTATACTCTTGTAAGCAAAATTCGTGTTTTAAAACTTAAAAGTTTATTCATTACATTTTTAGATCACTAAAACGTTTTTACGTACAATTGTAATTTGACTGTATTGCTTTAACGTATAGGTCACAAATTGGGGTTGGGTTGGGGTCGGATAGTGTATATACATTAGCCTATTCAAAATAGTTTGAGTTGTATCAGTACTTATACTCACACAATGATCGGGTGTTGTTTCAATTTTATCAGATGTCCCTGAAGGAACACACAACAATCGAGTAGAATATCAAAACTATACTTATATATGATTCAGTTTCGAGTATTCACGGTTATCCATGGATAATAATTTATATTTATAACTTCAACGAACGTGTTAACAATTACATGTATAATGATGTCATCGATTGTAGCTCGGGAAAATTTTACCTGGCCCAAAGGCCAAGATCGTATTTTCCTAGGGTCTCTCGCAGAATCCTTACTTTGATGGCGAGGTACGGTTCTATTGATTTTATAAAACTATGTAGGATGTTGAGGTGCCTCCGGTTTTACAAAACTAAAACTGAAAAGAAATAAAGTACAGAAAAGTAAACCTATACTACGATTGGTGGAGGAAGGAGCAGAGAAGGAAGGTGTAGCATAGGCAAACTCCCCCTAACTCTCCTAGTCACGTATCCCTTGATATTCGATAATATACTACAAATTAAACTAATGTAGATAGTCTTTGAGACTTTTTCTTTCGGATTAATAGGAAGACTAATTCTTTGCTTGTAAATCCATTGTTTTACTTGCAAATTAAGTTGTTAAAAGGATATGCAAGCACATGCTGCTATGTATAAGTGACAGTAGTACTAGAAGTGCAAAAGTGTGAAGTACTCATCCCTTCTCGAAATAAGAAAAACAAACAAAGAGCACGACAATCAAGGCAGTTTTGTTTATGTTTTTTTAATTTTTTGGGCTAATACCACTACAACACCCAAACTATCCGGAAAATGCCACTTGTGTCCTATTGTTTTCAATATTCCATCTGTGTCCTGAACTATTATATTTTGTGTCATTTGTATCCTACCAATTGTGTTGACCGTTAAAGATAACAGTTGACCAAACGGCAATCAACTTAACATTGACTTTTGCTTACGTGGCAATGCCAAATCATTGACACCTCACATTTTTAATTCAAAATTAAATAAATTTTGAAAATAAAAAAATTGAAAAAACTTTAAATTCAAGAATATTATTTTAACCTAAAATTAAAATTAGTTTTTAACCTAATCTCTTATCTTCTCCCCGCCTCCGCCGGGACCTGTAGCTAGAGAAAGGAGCTGTGAATCCGTCACCAGATCCATCGCCCTTCCGTCACGAGTCAGCCTCCTTTCCTCCTCACTTCCGTCGTCGCGGCAGCAGCAACCGAGCGAATGGCGGCGGAGGAATTCGAATCGGCGGCGAACGATTGCTACTTCTTGGAACAGATCTGGAAGCTTCTCGCCGAAATCGAAGATCTCCACCTGCTAATGGACCCGGACGATTTCCTGAAACTGAAGAACCAGCTCTCGATTCGATCGGCGGCGGAGACGGAGCCTTTCTGCTTCCGTTCGAGGTCGCTGGTGGAGATGAAGCACAAGGTGCCGGAGATTCTGGGCGTGGAGGAACCCAGAAATCAACAATATAGATCGACTAACCCAGAACACATCGACGAACAAAAACGAGGAACCCAGAGAACACTGAACCAGAAAGACGAACCCAGAACACTGAACAAGAACGACGAACCAGAGACCGACGACATCTACGCCACGACGGTGTATAAGGGCGGAGCTACCGATTTCGGGAAGAGCGACGGAGAAGAGGACGATGACGACGAAGAATCGCTGCCTCCGCTTCTCAAGCGCTCGCCCAAGGACTTCGGAGGTGGCGACCCGCTGGATGAACGCCGCTCTTAATCTGAACGCCGCCGCCACAATTCCAATCCCTAATTGCTCTGTCCGCCATTTACAGAGAGTTCCAGATTGGAAGTCAAGAGAGAGAGAGAGAGAGAGAGGAAGCAGAGAAGCAACGAGAGGGAGTTAGTGGAGGCGGTGGGAGAAGGGGAGTTGCTAAGTAGAGGGAGTGAATCGTCGATGGAGAAGAGAATTGACGATCTGGAGAAGAGAAGCAGGGTCGCCAGTGAGTCGATGAGAATCGACTGATTTGAGGGTTTTTTTTTGTAATTTTCCATCATTTTTATTTTGTTTTCCTTATTTTAATTATTTTAGATGAAAAAATAAATATAATTGATAATAAAAATTCCACGTCAGATGCCACGTCAACGCTGAGTGGATTTTCTGTTAAATGCTAATGGTCAACACCGGTCAACACTAACGGAATAATAGTTCAGGACACAGATGGAATATTGGAAACAATAGGACACAAGTGACATTTTTCGGATAGTTCGGGTGTTGTAGTGGTATTAGCCCTAATTTTTTTCTCATTACTCTCACATTGTAGTGGTTTCGATTATTATGTTAGTAATACTATCGTCAACTTCCAGACGCCACAAAACTATAGATTAAGAGCTTGTGTTTCCCTTGGTACCATAATGACTTTACTATACATGAATTGTGGCCTTCATTCTACAATTGGACCGAGAGGTCCCTGCGGATCCTTCGAGAAAATTGAGGACTGGACAACTCCGGGTAATTAAATTGTTAATCATACTATTTCCTTTTCTTCTTCTTGCGTTCTTTATTATTTATGTATCTTGCGCTTGGAGTAACAATTAATTAATGGACAAGAGTCTCGTCCGTGAGCTGACAAAGGTATTGCCCCAATTGCTAGACAAAATAGAGAGCCAAAATCCATGTATGATTAACAAGTGCAAAATAAAAAATAAAAAGCAAGAAGAAGAAAAGGAAATGGTATGATTAACAAGCTACTCAGAGTTTTTCGGGCCTTAATTATCTCGAAGGATCCTCGAGACATCAGACCAATTGTGTAGAATAAAGGCCACAATCCATGTATCGTAATGTTGTTAGGATATCAATGGAAACACCTATATATCTTTGCCAAATCAATAGCTTTGCAGCATCTAGAAGCTGGCGATTGTACTGCCAACACATAATAATCAAAACCACTACAATGTGAGAATAATGAGAAGAAGAAAAAAAAAAAAAAAAACAGAATTGCTTTGATTGCCATGTTCTTAGTTTTTTTTTTCTTGCCTATGTCACAACCGTCCATCGGAATTGGGGATCCGACGATCCGTCGTGTGATGCTCGAATTCGCCATTGATTCGGTTTAGACTACACACTTTTGTACCATTTTACTTGCACTGTTTGATGTATTTGCACCATCCTTGGAGCTAGTTTACACTAGGTTTGTTTGTTTTTTCGTCATGTGTCAGACCTTAGCAGGTAATATTGGCACAGGGATCAAAATCCGGACAAAACAGGGCAAAAATGGAGCAAAATGGTTGAAAGTTCAGAGATCACGGTTGCAGAGCAAATATCATGGCCCAGACCGTCAAATGGACAAGCAAACCGTGAAGATTGCGCACTTCCAAAAGGTTTCGTATGGCTTCCAAGTAGTGTCAAGGTCATAGTCTCCAAACTGTGATGTCAACAAGCAGCCCGTGAAGTTGGTTAGTGAAACGACACGTTTTTGCGGCGAGATCACAGTTTCACTATCGACTTGACGGGCGTGATGTGAGAACGTGGTTTGTGCACTCGGGCTTATATAAAGGAGATTTGGCTGATTTGAACGAGGGAGTCTTAGAGAGATATTGGAGCTTCTTCTTCGAGGTTTAGAGAGAGAGAGAGAGAGAGAGAGAGAGAGAGAGAGAGAGAGAGCTAGGAAGGAATGAAGGAGAACTTCACCTATCTAAGGCTAGAGGAAGGTTGATTTCTTCCGCAAAGGTTGAACCAAACATCTAAGAAGAAGGAGGATCAACTTGCAATGGGTTTTTCTTCTATCTTATTTGTATTTTCTCCTCTAGTTGTGGAGTAGTACACTACCAAAAACTAGGTTTTAGAGAAAAATAATTAAATGCAAATATTTCATTAGTCTCTATATCTACTCTTTAGAAAAATATACATTATAGCTAATCTTTTGACACAACATATTATTTGCTTCAATATGCCATTCTATCTGCATCTGTTTAATAATAATTTATATTTTTTTCCTACAAAGTAAGGGGGAAATTAGTTGTATAAGCAATTATCCTATTTCCTTCTTTATACATAACTACATAATATTTAGAGAGAGATATAAGTGCCACACATAATATCTTATATCAATCTAGCACTAGAGGAAAATATAATTGTGGTAAATAACTTTTCATCAAAATATATTGGACGTTCATTAATAGGAGAGACGCTTGATATTTTTCACCACTCATCTTGTTCACCCATCCACCAAGGCTTTGCCCATGCCCCTGCCGCTGCGGATCCATCCTCCTTCGTCTACCTTTCAAGTTGGCATCGGCTTTGACAACCAAAATCCAACAATCTTCCCATCAGTTCCCTCCACCAAGCGGCTCCTCTATGTGCACGATCTCCTCAAATATGCCCGCTCTGGCTCTCCCCTGAATAGCAGGTGCACCCATCTATTACTGTCTCCCTTCCTCCCTCATTCAGCATACCCTTGTCTGATTCTCATCGCCCACACAACCCGGCACCATCGTGATTGCACCGACCATAGTCTGATTGGTGAGGACATCAACACCAAAGTAATCACAAGTCCAACATTTGTGCAAAATGATGCTCAGAATAAAGGCCTTATTACTTGAAGTCTGACAAAAGCATCCAAAACTCAATTACAAGCTTATTTTGTGGAGTACTTTCCATCTTTGGAATCTGGTTCATTCATGGTCAAGAGGTCAATATAATCCACGTGCAAGAGGAGAAAGAAGGGCATTCTTGATGCCCAAGTTGGTCAAACATGGAAAGGAGAAGGAAAGAGGAGAAAGAAAGAAATTATTGATGTCCAAGTTGTCAAAACATGGAAAGGAAAAAGGAAAGGGGAGGAGAGGAGAGGTGAGGTGTTTGAGCCTTTGAGGGAGGATGGAAGGTAGTAAATGAAGGTTGTATA